TTTTTTTACGATTTTGGTTCAACAAACTCTTCCATTTAAAAAACAAAACAAAAACATTTGGACATGGACATTTTTTGGTCAGGCTTTACAGGATTAATTACAAAAGTATTAACCTTCCCCTTTGTTTCCCTTATGCTCATGCATCTTCCTAGGACAAGACTTCAGATAAACAGACAGACATAAGCAACACTCCTGAGCTCTTCAGATCTGTCTCAGATTCCCAGTCCCAGACATCCCCTCTCTTCACCAGGCATGGCTGCTTCATTCGTCACCCTGTAGTACGTGTAGAGAAACTGAGTCAGGACCTCATCCCGGCAAGCACAGACTCAGATTTTCACACACAGGCCAGTGCTGCTGCTACATCCCCCAAGCAGGAAGACTTCAAACGAAAAATGTATTTGCTAGAGGACAAAGACTGCTGTAAAAATACTAATGCAAGTGAAGACGATACTCAAATATCTGATGAAGATACTCATTTACCAACACAAGTAAGCCAAGATTTGAGCACAGGTCCAGATACGTGCCTTTCACCTTCTAGAAGATCAAGCCCCAAATTCGTGCCTAAAAACAGCATTGAAGATGTCACAGTAGCAAGTGTAAGTAGGACATCTTAGAATTAAAGTTTTAGCAGTTACACCTCTGTTCAAAAGTTTTGGGGGGTTTTTTTGGACAAAAAAATAAATTAAAAAATGTATTCATCAAGGATCAAAAAAGTAAAAACATTTATAATGTTGCAAAACATTTTTATTTAAAATAAATGCTGTTATTTTTAACTATCTTGAACATTTATATTGTAAAAAATATTTCAGAATATTACTGTTTTACTGCATTTTTGATCAAATGAATACAGCCTTGGCGAGCACAAGACTTCCTTTCAAAAGCATTCAAAAAATCTTATACCTTAACATTTGAATGGTAGTGTGTATTCCTCAGAGAACTGTATTAGAAGTCACTTGTATTTGTAGAAGACTAGCTTTACCTTGTTAAGTTTTGGATTAATCCTTTCTAATGTTCTAATCATTTTCAAAAATGAGTTTTACTTAAAATGGCACAATCCTGCTACTTGAGACCTACCCAGGAAGGTAAAAATCTGAAGAAATAGTATGGTATCTTTAAATGTTTGGCATACTATGTTGCTGATTCTCTCACATACTGTATAGGATGCATAGTATGTGAATTGGGATTTGGCCTGTATCTCCAGAGATGAGATTGAGCACCCCTGACGGACGTTTTCTACTCTATTTGTGTTCTTACTCTGTTGTGTGATCATTTTAACAGAAAACCCCTAATCTAAAGCAAGTGGAGGATCAGACCACTCGGGGTAAGAATGTAAAATATGACACTGGTATGCCATTTCTTGCACTAGTCTCCTCTTCATGTTTTTACAATGGACAAATACAAATTAACGTGCATACTTCATTTCCAAGTGGTATGAGGATGCACAGGTTCTTTAAAGCCATATAGTTGTATGAAACTAAATACTTTAGCGTTTAGTAAAGAATCAAGGCAATTTGAGTGTGATTTCTGACAACAGAAAAGCAGTTACTTAATGCTTGAAGTTGCGTGTGTGGTTGACCCACTGTTGCTGCAAGACTGAGCAGTGTATTGCAGTATTTGGTACCACACAGAGCGAGTTTGGTTCCTGCCGACAGGGCCTGTCAAGTTATTGGGTACTCTGTGCAATGGTTCCATACAAATTTAAATTCATTATTATTATTATTTTTTTTAGAAATACATAATTTTGTTTAGCAAGGATGCATTAAATTGATCAAAAGTGACCGTAAAAATAGATTACAAAAGATTTGTGCTTCAAATAAATGCTGTTCTGTCAAACTTTCTGTTCATCAAAATCCTACAAAAAATGTCTAAAGCCCATTCACACCAAGGACGATAACTATAAAGATAACGATAAAGATATAGTTCTAAAAATCGTTCTCAATATTAAAGAATAGCAGAGTCCACACCACAGCTATAACGATAAAGGCACAGAGAAACAATATCGTTGGAATCACTTTCAGAATAATTTTTTTGAGCTGATGGACGATACAAACATTGACACCCAATCAGATTCCATCCTGCTATAACGAGCTTGAGAATTTGAAGCATCAGACGAGCGTGCGCTTAGAATAAACACGATATCGTTCACTGGTGTGGACGCTAATGTCATTATCTTTATAGTTACTGTTCTTGATGTGAATGGGGTTTAAGACTTCTTTCAAAAACAAAAAACACACACAACCTTTTGTACTGTAGTGTATGATAGTTATATGTGATTTTGTGCAGAACGCTTGAATTAGCCCTAATCATTTCATTGTGTTTTAAACTGCAGAAACTGCTCCAAACACTCAGTCTTGGAATGAATTTACTAGTCACATGGTCTTGCATTTAACAGATGATGAAGATGATGCCAGTGAAGAGGTAGGTACTGTAATTTTATAGTTAGTAGTTTGTATATTAAAATAACTGCATGTTTAATGGCCGGTCAGTTGAACAGAGGGGTATTAGACATATTCCAAATATTTGGTCATATTCCTATTATGAAAGCCCTTTATTGCCATAACCAGATTAAGATAATACAACATCTGGCATATGCCTCTATTCAGAATTTTGTGTTAGGATGGCAACCATAAAATGAACATTCATTCATATCTGTGCATGTCCAGACAAAAAATAATAATTTTTTGTGATGTTAGATACATTACAAACAGATAGAAAAAGTATGTGCATGTCATAGTTGATTGGAAATATGCTTGTTATTATGTGTATACAGGAATATTCCAATTGCTATAGAACATGTGTTAACCAGAATATGGTTCTTAATTGGAAAATGTTGTCAATTCCAGGTTCTTTCCCCCAGCCCAGTGTTGTGCAAGGAAAAGATTTTTAAGCCAATCAAGACAAAGCTTTCCCCAACCCAGTCCTGCATCTCTCCAGCTACCATCACACTCTATTCTTCTACACAAGACACACAGATGTCCCGGTCTGTCCTGGAAGAGGACTCGAAAGCATCCAAGGGTGTGGAATTCAAATCCTCCGACTGGAAATCTCCACATTCTTCAGTGGAAAAAGGAGAATGCACTATCTCTTACTACTGGGGAGTGCCTTTCTGCCCCATGGGGCAAAACCCGGACGAGTACACACGTGTGATCATGTGTCAAATGGAGGTGTACGAGAAGAGCCTGAAGGAGGCCCAGCGAGAGCTGCTGCACAAAGCACATTGGGGACAGCCAGTGGGTGACATAAGATGCATTCATTCAGTCAAAACATAATTTACAACAGTTACAGTGGGGCAAATAAGTATTTGATACACTGCTGATTTTTCAAGTTTTCCCACTTACAAAGAATGGAGAGATCTGTAATTTTCATCGTAGGTACACCTCAACTGTGAGAGACCGAATCAAAAAAAAAAATCCAGAAAATTACATTGTATTTTATTGCATGGAATAAGTATTTGATCACCTACCAGCTCTCACAGACCTGTTAGTTTGTCTTTAAGAAGCCCTCCTATCCTCCACTCATTACCTGTATTAATTGCACCTGTTTGAACTTGTTACCTGTATAAAAGACACCGGTCCACACACTCAATCAATCAGACTCCAACCTCTCCACTATGGGCAAGACCAAAGAGCTGTCTAAGGACACCAGGGACAAAATTGTAGACCTGCACAAGGCTGGGATGGGCTACAGGAAAATAGGCAAACAGCTTGGTGAGAAGGCAACAATTGTTGGCGCAATTATTAGAAAATGGAAGAAATTCAAGATGACTGTCAATCTCCCTCGGACTGGGGCTCCATGCAAGATCTCGCCTCGTGGAGTATCAATGATCCTGAGAAAGGTGAGGGATCAGCCTAGAACTACACGGGAGGACCTGGTCAATGACCTGAAGAGAGCTGGGACCACAGTCTCAACGGTTACCATTAGTAACACACTACACCATCATGGATTAAAATCCTGCAGTAAAAAATCGGCAGTGTATCAAATACTTATTTGCCCCACTGTATATTCAGGGGCGTAGGAACTCAAACTTACCAGCTTTCCTCATGAAGATGAATTATGTGACACAATTGTTTTATGGCTTCCAAGACCACTGTAACAATATCTTTTTAATACAATATTTTAATGTAGATTGCCCAATGATCGATTTTTTATTTATTTAGGTGTTTCCTGGCTCTGTGAGGCCGTTTGGTGCAAGGAGATGGAAGCGCCACAGAGCTCCTCAGCTGTCAGAGGATGAGGAGGAGGAGAATGAAGAAGAGGCAGAGAAAGAAAATAACAGAACAGAAGTAGAAGAAGAGAAGGACGAAGCCAAGGAGTCTGTGGTGGGGTCACAGGAGGATGCTGAGTGCGGACAGAGTGAAACATACGTAGTTTTGTCATCTCCAGAGACAAACGATGAGCAAGTGGTTAGTATATTGTTATTGATATCACTCTAACCTCTGTCATTGGGTTTGCTGTTTAGATCTAGGAATGTCACCGTTTGAAATGATTATGCAGTCAGATTTTCAGCATGTCTGCTTGGATCCATGGTTCCAGGTAGCTTTTGTGATTTAAAAAAAATATATATATATATTTTTTTTAAGAAAGATATTTTATTGATGTTATATGCTGTATCCTCTGTAGAAGGATGGAATTATTAGGGGAAAAAAGACACTATAGGCAAAAACAAGGTTTTTATTCACCAATCAATTTTCAAGTTCTAGGCCAATATTTGTTTTATGAAACTTTGTACAAAGATGATTCTCAGCTTATGTTATGAAAGATATTACAGAATGATTTGATATACTATTTTACTTTATACAGTATGTTTAAACATAGAAAAGGATATTCCTTTTCTATGCATTGTATCTATACATAGAAAAAAACGTGTTAATGAGAGTAACAACTTGGCAACATTTTTATAAGAATCTCATATTTCATAGGAATATATTTCTTTATTTGGAGAGAGAGATACAATTTATTTCCTAATTCACTTGTTGTGTCCCCAAAATGTCTAAAAAAAAAAACATGCTCTATGTCCTGGTGTCCTCTACAAAGGACATGTATGAAATCGATATCCTGTTTTGTAATAAAAAGTCATATTCTGTTTTGAATCCCTAAAGTTCTCCCTAGACATTAATTTATTAGGAAAAAATAGGGGAAAAGTCTATAGCTGGGTCCCAGGAGGATATAGGGTTTTGTACTTGTATTTTGGTGTAATACCATCCTCAACCACAAGATGACGCACAGGATGATCGGAAGAAATGGACAGCACCTGAGTTAAATATTTGAGTGTCACAGCAAAGGGTCTGAATATTTAGGACCATGTGATATTTCAGTTTTTCTTTTTTAATAAATCTGCAAAAATGTCAACAATTCTGTGTTTTTCTGTCAATATGGGGTGCTGTGTGTACATTAATGAGGAAAAAAAATTAACTTAAATGATTTTAGCAAATGGCTGCAATATAACAAAGAGTGAAAAATTTAAAGGGGTCTGAATACTTTCCGGTACGGTTTCCTGTATATACTGGAACAAAGACTAAATGTTGTTAAGAATGTTGCTGCACCTGTTACTGATAGCTTGTTTGCTTTCTCAACAGGAAAAAAACCCTTTCCTCAGCCGTGAGGAGCCTGTTACTGCCGCTTTAAATAAATCTTTCAGGTAACCTTTTAGGTGTCTCTTAGATGTGGTTGGATTTAAAAAGAGGAATTTTTTTCCACACAAAAAAACAATTGAAAATTGCTCTGGTGTTTATATTTCCATCAAAGTAGCTTTTTGTAACTTATGTTACACATTCCATCCATGTGTGTATATACATATGTATAGATATACATGCAATTTAATCAAAGAATCCTGCAAAAAATTGTTTGTACATTTGGTTGAATAGGTTGTACATTGTGTAGTGTTTGAGTTATTTTTGAAAATAAAGATAATGGCAGTAAATATCTGGCAGAATATTTCAGCTCTTGTTTTCCATACAGTGAAAGTGGACTGGGATTTACTTTAGAAAGAAAGGACACATAGCACCACAACAGCATTATAAAGCTATCCTAACACATCTCATTGACAGGAAAAGTGCTCCATGGGATACTTCAGATGAAACTCAAATACAATGTTCAGCTGAGCCGGAGGAAGAAGTGGCCCAGAATCACAAGCATTGTGAAGAGGATGAGATCATTTGTCCAGGTATGTGACTCAAGTTTCCAGCCCTTCAGAAGATGATGAAACCGTTTCCACTGGTATAAATTTAATTTAGCTGCATGTTCTTCATACAGAGACTCAGATGACTCAAAACAACACACCAGAACTAATGGTGACCAGTCCTGCACAGGTACAGTAGCACCATACAACTCTGTTCCAATCCAAATGCAGCATCCTAAAAGGAACCTCATGCAACAGACCATATAGACTTTCATTTACAACCAGACAGGATCTGAATGAATTTCAATAAGACCTTATAATTTTAAGTGAGCATCCCTCATTCACAGCCCCAGTCTCATGCTGGCAGTGAGGTGATGGAGGGAGGAGGTGCTCCTGCTGTAGAGGAGGAGATGGAGCAAGAGGCAGCTCCTCTTCACTGTCAGGAGCTGGAATGCCCCATGTGCTCCAAACTCTTCCCCTTCAGCAAGATCCAGATACATGCGGCTTACTGTGATGGTGAAGCAGACCACCAGGAAGAGCAATCACAAGGTTAGCTCTCTAATAGCACTTTTTAAACTTTTCAGTAAGCAAATAGATGTAAGAAAGAAGACCAGTCGAATTCAGCATGCAAATATTATGATGCCAACATGGCTGTTAATTGTGGATTAGGTCAAGAAATGTGTGAAGTGAATTATTTTGTTATTGTAGTTGTTGCCCGAAGGAAAAGGACCAAAAGAAATTGATGAAACTCAGCAATCTGGCAAGTAGGTCCCACAAACATTAAAACACTGAAAATTATTAAACATGTTGAACAAATTAAAATAGCAGTGTCATAAAAAAAACGTGACATTTTAATTGTACAGTAATTATTACATGAATGGTTCCCCAGTGGCCTTGCTGATCCTGCGGTGATGGGGACTTCTGAAAGTGTAGACTGCTCAGCGATGACTTCCTGTACCAGTAACGCCTTCACTCCTGGATCAGAGAACACTGACTGCCTTATTGACTCTCCTAAGAACATCCAAAGACTCTCAAGAAAGAGAAAATTTAAAAAAGTGTCAACATGCTTTTAGTAACGCTCGTGTCTGTGCTTTTCAGTGCCTCTCCATTTGTATGGCTTTTTATAAAATGAAAAATTTACAAATGTATCTATTTAATTCTTTGTTGTCTTATAAAATTGTATTAAATAATATTGGCACCTCATAAAAAGTCTGATTTGATATTTGTCTATATATCGCCCATCCGCCTGACCGCCCATCCATATAGGTGTATAATATGGGGGGTTTTTTCTCTAAGGTGTGGTCAGATTTACTGTTGCTTTGCTAATTTTAATCATATTTTAATCTGAAATTTCAGAAGTTCTCCATGCAGATGAACTACAGGGTGAGTAGTAATATTTAAACCACATGGAATAAAGTAATCCAATATTAATATGCTGATCTAGTTTGTTTTATTAGCCTAATATAACTTATCATATCAGTAAGTTTAAGGTTCATAGGTTTTGGATAAGCATTCAGATTTGTATGCAGTAATTTGTGTGGTAATAGCGCCACCTTGTGGAAGTTGCATATTGCAGCTCTAAATTATAATTTACATTAAATGATATTTACTTCACACAAAAGCTGTTAAGATTTTAGGACTCTTCCGCTCCAGGGGTTGGAAGAAGAGAGGCCATCCAATGGCCAGCTTGATTATTTATATCTCTGATAGTAATATTGTTGCATATTATTAACAATTTAAATAACTTTTCCATTTGAATATATTTTAAAACGTAATTTATTCCTGTAATGGAAGTTCATTACTCCAGTCTTCAGAGTTACATGATCCTTCAGAAATCATTCTAAGCAGATGTGGTGCTCAAGAAACATTTCCTATGATTATCAGTGTTGAAGACAGTTGACTGCTTGATGTTTTTGTGGAAACTGATGGTGTTTTTAAACATTTTAGAATTTATTTTAAAATAATAAATATAGCCTATATATATTGCCTATAATAAATATAGCCTATATGTATATAAACAGCAATGATTTTATATATGGTGTTATTTATATATAAAGGTGCATCTCAATAAATTAGAATGTCGTGGAAAAGTTCATTTATTTCAGTAATTCAACTCAAATTGTGAAACTCGTTTATTAAATAAATTCAATGCACTCAGACTGAAGTAGTTTAAGTCTTTGGTTCTTTTAATTGTGATGATTTTGGCTCACATTTAACAAAAACCCACCAATTCACTATCTCAACAAATTAGAATACTTCATAACACCAATAAAAAAAAACATTTTTAGTGAATTGTTGGCCTTCTGGAAAGTATGTTCATTTACTGTACATGTACTCAATACTTGGTAGGGACTCCTTTTGCTTTAATTACTGCCTCAATTCGGCGTGGCATGGAGGTGATCAGTTTGTGGCACTGCTGAGGTGGTATGGAAGTCCAGGTTTCTTTGACAGGGGCCTTCAGCTCATCTGCATTTTTTGGTCTCTTGTTTCTCAATTTCCTCTTGACAATACCCCATAGATTCTCTATGGGGTTCAGGTCTGGTGAGTTTGCTGGCCAGTCAAGCACACCAACACCATGGTGATTTAACCAAAGTTGGGTGCTTTTGGCAGTGGGGGCAGGTGCCAAATCCTGCTGGAAAATGAAATCAGCATCTTCAAAAAGCTGGTCAGCAGAAGGAAGCATGAAGTACTCCAAAATTTCTTGGTAAACGGGTGCAGTGACGTTGGTTTTCAAAAAACACAATGGACCAACACCAGCGGACGACATTGCACCCCAAATCATCACAGACTGTGGAAACTTAACACTGGACTTCAAGCAACTTGGGCTATGAGCTTCTCCACCCTCCTCCAGACTCTAGGACCTTGGTTTCCAAATGAAATACAAAACTTGCTCTCATCTGAAAAGAGGAATTTGGACCACTGGGCAACAGTCCAGTTCTTCTTCTCCTTCTCCTTCTGTTCAACCAAGTCTCTGCCTTTCTCACATAGAACAACCTCCTTGAGGGCAACCAGTCTGGTTTCAGAAGTGGACATTCAACCGAGACTGCCTTGCTCTCATTTGTTGAAGCCCTAAGTATGGCAAGAGCGGATTCCAAATCTTCTATACTTATCTTGCTGGATCTGTCTGCTGCTTTTGACACCGTTAACCACCCGATCCTCCTGTCAACCCTATTGGCAAAGGGCATCTCAGGAACCACACTCCAGTGGTTTGAGTCTTACCTATCAGATAGGTCCTTCAAAGTATCTTGGAGAGGTGAGGTGTCCAAGTCACAACATCTAACTACTGGGGTGCCTCAGGGCTCAGTTCTTGGACCACTTCTCTTCTCTGTCTACATGGCATCATTAGGTTCTGTCATTCAGAAACATGGCTTTTCATACCACTGCTATGCTGATGACACTCAACTCTACCTCTCATTCCATCCTGATGATCCAACGATAGCTGCTCGCATCTCAGCTCGTCTAACAGACATTTCTTGTTGGATGAAGGACTATCACCTTCAACTCAACCTTGCCAAGACAGAACTGCTTGTGGTTCCAGCAAACCCATTGTTTCATCACAATTTCACCATCCAGTTAGGCACATCAACCATAACTCCTTCAAAAACAGGCAGAAACCTTGGAGTTATGATTGATGATCAGCTTACTTTCTCAGACCACATTGCTAAAACTGTCCAGTCCTGCAGGTTTGCTTTATTCAACATCTAGAAGATCAGGCCCTTTCTTTCGGAACATGCTTCACAACTCCTTGTTCAAGCTCTTGTTCTGTCCAGGCTGGACTATTGCAATGCTCTCTTGGCAGGTCTTCCAGCCACTTCTATCAAACCTTTACGATGAATCCAGAACGTGGCAGCAAGATACATTTTTAAGGAGCCAAAAAGAATGCACGTCACACCCCTGTTGATCAATTTGCACTGGCTACCAATAGCTGCTCCCATAAAATTCAAGGCATTCCCGGTGAAATGACCTGCCTAACTCCTTAGTCCTTAGCCATCTTCAAGAATCGGCTAAAAACACATCTTTTCCATCTTTAAAAAACACATCTCTTCCATCTTTATTTGATCCTCTATAACTCTAGCACTCTCTATTCTAATTCTATTCTTAAAAAAAAAACTTGTCCCTTTTAGACTTGCACTCTATTCATTTGCTGCTTGTTTTCTTTAAAAAATAAAACCTACTAGCTTTCTAATCTTTTTGTATTCTATCTGTTTTCTTTTCATTTATTATACAATTAACAAAAGCAAAAAAGACCTCTAACACTAATTTGCTCTATTCTTTCTTTATTTTATTTTTATTTATTATATTATTTTAAAAACGTATATATTATACACATAGCACATGACAGTTACATAAATAGCATATGATGTTAAATATATACAGTGACTCTCTATATATGTCACTTGACTCCTTAAAACAGATTACAAGAACATGATGATGACTGAATTGGTCTGTGTCTTGCTGCTTTGCACATGTGCAAATGTGCTCGAAGAAAAGAAAGAATATGGAGGGAAACATGAAGAATGCATGTCACAGAGTGAGGGGGTGGGGGTGACGGCTCTCTGCAGGACAGTTCTCATTCAAACTGCTGTGACCCAGTTATATAGGGATTCATGAGAATGTCCTAAAGTATGGACAAAACATACTTTTTGCGGACCCAATATCTGTAATTGACAATAAAATGTGGCAAATTTAAAACCATTTATTTTATGCTTTAAAAATTTAATTAAAAAAAGATTGCATATTTTAAAGATACATTTTATTGTATTATACTATATTTTAGTATCACTTTACAATAACACTCAATTTATTAACATTAGTTGCTGTATTAGTTATCACAAACTAACAAAGAACATTTATGTTCTTAAGCATTTATTAACCATTTATTAAGCATTTATTCAGTCAAGGTAAAATGTTTATTGTTAATGTTCATTCATAAAACATGAATGCACTTTGTTAAACTGTTAAATGCACACACAGTTTTAAAAATTGATTAGCATTCGCCAAGATTAATAAACACTAAAAATTGTTGTTAATTTTTAGGTTATTATAACAAATGCATTAACTTACAATTTACAATTAATGATAACAAATTGGCCTTTACTGTAAAGTCTTACAGTTCCTTTATTTAGTTTTTTTTTTTTTTTTAAATAAGGTTTTATGTTACTAAAATATTTTAATGTTTTTTTTTTTTACTTTTTAAAGTAAAGGTTAAATAAACAGACTTAGAGAGCTAGTAAGTGTAATTATTAAAGTAATAGCTCTTATGATGTTTGCTGGTATTATTGCAAAGCCTTAAAACAAGTTCTCATATTACTGGACACTGAAATATGCTAAAATAGTATAGCTAGAGGATCTGTATGTGAATGATTATGCATGCAGAAATTCTTGGAAATGCTACACCCTAATTTCATCTTAGAAAACACAGAACATGCAACCCTATCTTGTGAGACACAAAAGTAAGGAGTATCCGGAAGTGGGGAAACCAAAACTTGGTACATAAGTTTTGAAAGAGGCCTGCATGTCTTGATTTAATTTTCATTGACCGTAGCTCTTGTTATCACTTGTGTGTATGTGTTAATTTGTCATCAGGGTAAAGTCTGCGTAATTCACAGCTCTACATTTGTGAGTGTAATATTGTGAAGCATATTTTATTCTGAAAAATGCTGAAACAAAGGCTTTTGTGTTGTTAAATTTGGAATGGATTTCAGTTTTAGCTTAAAGGATTTCAAATCCAGAGTGAAACAGGTCCAGTTTTTGTTTCATTGACAAACGAGATTATCGGCCAAGCACTCGTCTGCTCTATTTGGCAGAAACCCAGAATCCCTGTGGCCTACAGCCTCTAGGGCTCCTGCCTCTGACTTGTGGGAACTGATACAAATAAGCATGCTCATGATTTGTTAATACTGAGCAGTATTTCTTGCAAGACTGCAAACTAAAACATGAAGTGTCATATTTCATATTTCATTGCCAAGAGAGTGCTGAAAGGAAAACTGCTGCAATACGTATGTTGATATTTAAGCTATCTGATTTCAGGATGCCACAAACTTCCTGAGAAGCTTGGTTTTGCACTGGGTCAAGGTCAGTTTTAAAAGAAATTAAAGTAGCTTTAACTCAAACGTACCATGTTGTTTTGTCCGGTAAGCATTCCAGCCATTTCAGCCACTTCCTGTGGAATGTTTCCTCTCTCTGGCACTGATGCCTATAGGCTTTTGTTTATTTTTGGTATGGTATCATTTTCTCTACTTAAATTAGTTTAAATACTTTACCAGCCCACCCAATGCTGTTTACATATATATTGCAATATTAGTGTGTGTGTGTGTGTGTGTGTCTGTCTGTAAATCTTATAAACATATATCTTATAAATATAATTTATAGCATGTTATAAATCTAAATATAAT